CAAACAGTGAAAGGCACTGGCCAGAGGCATTACTGTCAGCAACTGCAACACTTTCAATGCCTTAAGAGACAAACATCAGTTCTAAATTTAAGCCCTAAAGAATGGGAAAAAGGTGGCAAAAATTTAAACAAACCATTTAGGCATTGAGGGTGAAAGGACTGCCATGTCAATCCAAGAAAGATACTGTGTCTCTGTATTAAACCCTAACTTTTGAAAGCAGTCTGTTAGACACAGTGGAATTGGAACTCATTAGCATCTACTTTAATACTCTGACCTTCTGAAAATGACTGTCCTTATTACTGGTGCTGTATATTGATACTCTGCTTGGCACAGAATCACATGCAACATAGATGGTCTCTGCCAGAGCAACTGAAAACACAGCTTTGGCCAGAAGTTCTCTGGTACTTTCTTCCCTTTCCCTTTTATCAGTCAGCTGAAAATGTTAGTATTTAATCACATACAAGCATGTTCCCCTTCCCTTTCCAGCCACAAATAATAATAGCCCAGTCCACTGGAGTTTTTCCATGACTTTGATGAGAACTGGATCGGATCCAGAATGAAATGGTTTGGCAAGGAGCAGAAGACCTTGTAGAAAACTGGGACAGTGGTGCAGTGGTGAAGGGTTGAAACAGCAATCCTTAAAGCACCCTTTCATAGCTAATGACATTTCACAACAGAAGAACTTTTTAAAATTGTGTTTCATTAGTACCATACAGTTCAGAGAAGCCCTGCAACAAAGCAGAAGCAGAAATGCTGGTACCAGTTGATGTCTGCACCACGGCAGGACTCAGCTTTTAGCTGAGGTCAGGCTGCAGAGAAGCACAGCACTGACAGAGCTCCAGAATACTTTGTGTCTGCACTGCCCCTCGTGTCCCACCTTCTCTTTTTATTCCTGGGTCATTCCTGAACTTGAAAATGATACTTCACGTGAAAGTGATGGAAGTCTGGTAACCACCTGTCCCAGTTATATGTGTTAAGTACAGTGGGTCAACTGTACTTAAGTACAACCCTAAGCAACTTCCACAGACCATCAGCTTTTATGTAAGGATTTCTAGAACATCTATCCTAAGTAGGAACAAATCCAAAATACACACAATAGACACTTATAAACTGCCCATCACCATGGCCCCAGTTATCAGCCCTTACTCTTCACCTACACTGCTCATTATTAACAGACATCCGTGTTGCACAAGAGCTCCTGAAAGCCACCAGATCATTTCAAATCACACAATGGGGCATTCAAATGAAGCACCCAGCCCTGACTTGCATTAGGGAGGATGTGGGTAAAACAGTCTGATAACATTTCTCAGTGGCCAGCTTTGGGTGTGAGCCTGTGATCATTTCAGCCCTGGTTCGGGCAAACCTTGGGTCTCCACTGAAATCTGAGATCTATCCCATACAGACTTAAATCCTTTTTGTACAGCAATTAATGAATTAATTATGTTACCAAGCTGCAATATGGCAGAGGTCCAAAACCCTAATGCATTCCATATGTTTGATTGTTTTTGCCAAACATCTCCAACCTCTTGAAACCACAATTACAATCAAAAACAAGGCAATTTCCTGCATAATCAGCCCCCAACCCCTGTCTTGGGCTCACATTTAACACTTCCTGTGTTGTAACCATTCTGCATATCCCTGCAGCTCTGGAGTTTGTTTTAGCTTGTTTTCTAGGACAATCAAAACCTTATGGTTGCTCAGCATATAGAGACCAACATAGGCAACTGAGTTTTTGTCCTTCAGCAGATGCTTGGTATTGCTTCTTGGTCATGAACTCTCTAATAAAATATTAATAACAAAAAAAGAGAGGCAGTCACAGTAGATAAAAAATCATCATGTCCCACAGACTGGTCTGGAAGGAGGATATTTTAAATGTCACCTTCTTTCCAGCTCATCAGTGAATTTCCAAGTTTTAGCTTTGTATGATAACTGTAAGAACTGGTAGAAATGTCTCTTTACATTTAGTAGAAGCATCCCACTTCCTATAGTTGGAAAAATAAATGCTTTCCCAGTGGCAGATAAATATCATAGTACAAAAACTGACAAAAGTTCAGACAACACTTTACATACTCTAATCCTACTGACACACAAATATTCTTAGGTCATAAATACCAAATGATAAATTGGCATCAATTCCTCCCAAATATACACAACTGGATGACTTTTAGGGCTGCTTGAGAATTTAATTTTTAACTAGCAGAAATAGCATCAAATTAAATTTGAATTATTTAGAGAATGGCTACATTACAGTGCATTTAGAGTGCAAAGAAATAATTCAACAGAAATCTATATCATATAATCATATAAATATTTACCAATCTGTAAATGCATCTTAGAGACCATCAACATGCTGAAGATGAAAAATAAGATTTTCCTCAAGAATTCTTCTTTAGAATTCTTCTGAGGACACATTTTAGAAATTTAAATTATTTTTCCTGAACTAATTACTGAGCTTTGGAAGAATACTAATTATTCTCCAATTAAAGCATCTAGCATGTAGTAACAGATTTGAAAATGTCATTCAGGATTACTTTGTTTCCTTGCATGGGAAATATCTTCTTAAAGTGTAAATCAAGTAATTTATATTTTAATACAGCCATCCTGATGGTTTTTTGTTTGTTTTTAATTGAGAGTGTCAAAATGAGTAACACTGCATTTGGCAGATGGAGATTTCAGTTATATATTCTATAAGGCTCAGCTTCTGCATTGCTTGAAGTCTGGTGGTGTTTCTGTCAGACACCTCCTGCCAAGCCACAGAGGGGCAGCAGGACTCACACTCCAGTACCAATTCAGGATATGACAAGCACAAAATAAACAACTTTGTTCTCAAAGTCAGTTCCCTTAAAGCAGCACTAAAATGACACTGTGCAGCCCATCAGCTCTCAATTGTCAAGGTACTGGACCTCATCAGACCTCAGATTATTTCAGTTATTTCTAACCAACAAAGAAACAAAGGGTATTTTCATAGCATTTGGCCTCTGACTTCAAAGAAAATGTCGTATAATTCTGTGTGTTTAGATTATAATTGTAAAATGACTGCAGAAATCACAGAACACATGGTTGTTTTCATTTGACTTAATCTGTTAAAGCTGATACTGAGGATTTTGTCATGAATTTGTATGGTACAAAGAGGAAATTAAGGGAATAATTCCTGTATCCTAAAATGCTGCCATTACCTCATAATTGTAATAATTCTTGAAATTATAATTTTGAAGTAAATGAACACAGTGAATCAAAAGCCAAATTAAGAACAGCTTTAAATGCTAGGAGGGCTGCACTCACTCTGTGCTCAGGGGGAAGTGAAACGTGGTTGAAGTGGTTGGTTGTGTTTGCAAAGCAGTGGTATTCCACACCAGAGACACCAGGAACTAGTAAGCAGAACTAATAAGCACTTTAAGGGCATCTGGAAGCAAATTTAGGAATAATATTGCTTCAGCTTCATCAAAAGAAAACTGAAATGGACTAAACAGCCCAGTCCATGCAGTACCACTGTCAGGGACAGTTCAGGGTCTCATTTTGTACAGATCAAGGGCCAGTGCTATGGGTATAGACAATTCCATACACTGCTGGGTTTTGTGCACTGATGTTTCAGGCTTATTTGGAGATCTCAGATATAACTACAGTGAAAACTGAAAAATCTTAATCTTAACTCTGTAAATACCAGTAAGGTGAGACATGACTGAAGGTGTTGGTATAAATATCTAGGGACCTGCAAGCAGTGACTTGTACTGCTCTGACCCAGCAGTGTGCAGGAGACTGAAAACAATTGGTAATAAATCCATACTAGAGTAAAGTGCTTTCCTTCCTGCACAGTGTGTGCTTGACTTCTCCTGCTACTAGCAGGACCTCTGCCCTGTCACTGCATGTCAGTGGGCTCACAGTCAGCCCTGGAAGAGCAGGATGTGGGCATGCTGATGGGGGGAAATGTAGGTTAAAGAATATGCTGCATGCTAAAATGACACATTGATCAGATCTAGCTGGAAAATGTCTCATTTCACTGAAATCATTGTTTCAAAGACTGAGAACACAATGTAATGATAGTAACAACTCCTGGCCTATGAAATGTTATATAAATAACATTTTACATCTTTGATAATGGTACATAATGTAAAAAATGCTGCCCTTGACTTAAGTCTGCTTTCCCTTAAGCAGATCCCATTGAAATAACAGCAAATCCATTACATGGCCAGAAATGGACCCAGACACAGAAAGTTCCTTCTTGAATGAAGGGGTTGCCTGAGGCCATCATTTTTGTACTTTTTATAAACAGGGAAAAGGAGCTAGTGGTGCTAAAGGAATATTGTTTGTTTAAATTATGACTGTTCCTGCCCTGAGGTTATCCTACCAGTGTTTAAATTATTAGAATTAGGTTTTCCTGTTTTTCCCCCTTTTTCCTGTAGCTGTAGGACAAGGGTAGCAGGGAAAGTGTCTGCATGAATAGTATTGCCATATGTGATAGTAAACAAGTGGAAAAATAGTTATTTTTTTGTAACTGTATTCCCTGAGCTGTTACGTACAGCAGCTGTAGGCAAGATTCACTCAGAAAGGCATTTATGTGTTTCCTCCTGAATGCCTCCCCCAGTGCAATGGCCCAATGCTTAACAGGGACAGTCCCTGTGGGGCTGGTGAGGGCAGCTTTGTGCTTGAGTGCACCCAGAGGCACTGGCTGACCAGGAGCTGCTGCCTGAGCCCTTTGTTGGGCTGGTGCTCGTGTTCCTGTACCCCCAGCAGGCCATTAACCACCACAAGCACAGAGCTGCCACTGGGGCAGGCACAGAGCTGCCACTGGGGCAGGCAGAGAGCTGCCAGTGGGAGTGCAGAGCAGTGAGACAGACTCTGGCAGCAGCTGAAGCTCCCCTTCACCTGCTGCAGCAGCAGCCCTAGATCCAACGCCAGCCTCGCCCCGCGCCGCCAGAGCCTCAGCTCTCGTGTCCCAGCACGTGGCACAGAACAGCAGGGCACTGCCAGTGCCACCCTGTGTCACACAGCATGGCCAGTACCTTTCTTTTCCCCTGTAAAGGGTACGAAGTCTTCTCTGTCCTTGTGCTCCAGAGCTTGCTTCTCCAGGTAGGAGAGCAGGCGCTCTCTGTCGAAGGGGCCCGTGGCAGGTTTAGTGGTCTGGTCCTTCTGCCGAAATCCCGCTGGAAGCAGGGCGTTCTGTGAGACAGGGGCATGCAAAGGAGAGCAGGCAGCTTCACACAGTGCTCCAAACCTCAGCTCAGTGTCACTGGTTCCTAAGTGAAATCATTCTTTGCATAATGCTCTTGGGTGAGAGCAGTAACACACGTTACCTGAATGCAATCATGAAACCCAGCATATCATTCAGCCTTCTTGACTTACTACCCACTAATATTTATATTAACCATATTCACAGTCAGAGCACAGAAGAACCAAGTAAGGTCAGAGTCCTTTGTTACACATATTATAACCACAGTTTGCAGTCCAGGCAGATAAACCAGGATATGTTTTCTGTACATTTCCTTTACTCTTTTACCTCACTGTTTTTCTCTCATTGAAAAAAAATTCCTTTTATTCTAAAGCAGATGTCTCTCAGACTTCAGAAATGAATGGCATGCACTAAAGAGACTGGTGAATGAGGTAGACTTCAGCTATTCAGAGTATGAGGAAGCAAGCAGATAATTCCCACTTTCAACACGTGGGATCCTGTACAACATGTAGCTGTGGGTTTCATCTGCATCCTGTAACATAGGACCAAGAACAAGGTCCCCACATTTCAGCCCAGGAAATCCCAAGAAGAAATACAGGTAGATGGACCTTGCAGTGCACATGCAGTAATGCCAATGTGCTGAAGGTGCCCCAGAGTACTTCAGAAACATTTCCTCACTGGCCAGAACATGCAAAGTAAATTTGATCCATGGCAAATACATAGGGAATTCTGAGCACATCCAGTGAACTCAAGTCACCAGCTATTTTACCTGTGCATGCACAAATGCGTCCAGAGTGCTCCAAATTCACTACACATACGTAGATAAATACAAATGCACCATGGACTGATTTACTGGGTTGGTTGGTGTTGTTTTTTTAAATGGTTTTCTGTATCTCCATTTGAGATGCCAGATACTTGAAAATCTAGATGTGGTTGTAGTGTGGGAAGTGGCAACATGGTGGGAGAGAACATTAAAGCCCCCCTTCATTTCCAAACAAACTGGTGCTATAGAATTAGAAGCTATAAATCTATTGTGCTTCTCCAAATTCATTTCGCCTCCAGACAGAACATTTTATCTGCCATTTTACCTGCCAGTTTTCAAACTCCTACATTAGTTTGAATATTTTCAGGTAGGTACAGTCACAATTCCCTGCATATTTGTGACTGCAACCTCATTATTGTAGTGGTTCTCAGACCAGAAATCTTTAAATTCTTTGTGAGAATTTCTCAATTATTATATATAATAATTACATATTACATATTCCAAATAGAATTACATATTATATCATCTATTGTATATATATAATTACATATTACATATTCCCAATACATAATTGGTATTTATATATATATATATATATATATATATATATATAATCCCAATTATTCTTACTCACTGGAAAATGACAGTTTTGTGGCTGAATCCTATTTTTCTTGATCACGCCCAAATATGTACTCTTCAGATAAAAACATGTGCTAAACAACACAGTCAACAGATTTCAGAAGTTCAAGAGACCTGATCTCCATAAACACAGGTTATGTTTGTTTATTGCTGTGCTCAGAATCAGCAGCCATAAAAAGCTTCTCATTGTGTTGCAGTGTGCCAACACGATTAAAGATTTAGATTGCAGACAAGCTCATGTCTAAATAGACATGGGATAGATCAAGAGCACAGTGACTTTTAGAAAAGTAGCACATCACAGCAGGAATACAACCAAAATGTCTGTAGCTGAGCTGCTTATACTTTAGGGTGCACTGTCCCTACTGCAATGGAATGCAATAAAAAAACACTGCAGTGTGTGGCATTTCTAACAGGCAGTGTTGCAATTATCATCACTCACCTCAGGATCAAGGTCATCAAGAACATGTTCTAGCTGCTTCAGTTCATCCTCTGAGAGCTTGCTGAGTATTTCATCTTCGTTGATATTCTTGTACTTCTCCAGCTCCTTTCGGAAGGGCAGAGACATGGCTCCTGCTGCTCTGCTCTGCTCTGCTGCTCAGGATTTCAACCATCCAGGGGTACCCAGCTCCTCCAGCCGTGCTCGCTGCTAACAATAAAGCATTGTGAGCATCTCCATTTAGCTGAGAGTCCTGGAAAGCCCACGTGCTGAGGGTCACTGTGACACTTATTCATGAAAACAAAGCAGCAAGATGTCCTGGCACAGCACAGGGGGTGTGGGACGGGCGGCAGCCAAGGAATAGCAAGGACGGGTTCAGTGTACTGGGGGCAGAGCAAACAGCAGCTTCCAGACATAGATAAGGAAAATGTTAGCAACTTTTCCTTTTTTTATAGAAATATAGCTGGTTTATTTCATTTGCTTGGAAACAGTATCTGTTTGCTCTTTTGGCCAGAAGCAAAGGAAAGTGGTAGAGTCACAGACAACAGTCTAACACTAACAAAAAACAAAATGTTATGCCTTGAGGTATTCTATCTTATCCCAGCTTTGCTGGTGGCTGAAAGCTAACCCACATATTTTGCCTGACTTTTTGGCACATTCTGGTTACCTAAGCATCTTTCAGGTACACTGGTAGTTAGTCTTATTTCAGCATGTTTGGATATAAATGATAGCACATATTATCAAAATTCCTGGAGTAAGGAGATGCTAGTTATAGCTCAAAATATTATCTGTAATTCAGTCTGTTACATGGGAGACCTGCAGAAGTTCAAAACTTGAAGAAACATGAACAAAATATGAACAGAGTATTTCACAAACTCTTTTAGTTTTACAATTTGAATATGATTCCTTGTTAGATGACCCCAACTGACTGGGAACAAGAAGATCTCATTTGCATGACCACAACAGCCATTGTCACATTATCTGTCATATGACAATATGACAAAGGATTCTCTGTCTTCACTTGCTCTTTTTTTTTTCCTGTCCAGAACAAATTCTAGAACCAGAATCACCCTGTAAAGGGATAGAGTGAAGGAGATTTAATTTATTATTAGAAACAGCATTACCTGGGGACTCTCAGGGTGCTCCAGGCCCTCCCAAGTGTGCCCGGGTCCCACAGCAGCACCAGCACTCTCCAAATGACACAGTCAGCTGTGCACTTTTACAGCTGAGTGTTTGCATTCACAAATTTCAGAGTTATAGTTGATATGGAAACCAGTCAACTGGCACCTACCACTGATTTATGTATCAACCCCAACCCTAATTTCCTTTGGGCAGGTTTTTAGTGGTCATAAGCTGATAAAATCCATGTGGGTTCTGTTGCTTGTCACATGATTTGGAAGCCTGATTTTTATTTTTCTTTTATTCCAAATCCAAATAAAAATATTTCATTTACTTAGGAGTTTCACTATTTAAGTACTAGATAATAAATCATATTATATTTTTGTATTTATCAAAAAGACTAGAAATAAGCAGCCTATTGAAAGGGAAGGGAATAATCAGTGGATTTAAAATCTGAAATATTTGGAATTCTGTGACTACTGCAAGGCACAATAAGCTTTGACCGGAAACTTAAAATATCCAATTCCAAGAAGAATCATTATTTTGCCTACACGCTTTCTTTTTTCCTTATTCCTGCTCTGTTTGTGGCTGCTGTTTTCCTAGCACAACATCATCATCAAGCAATTCCAAATGTCAGGATAGAATTCAACCATTCTTTAAAGTGAGAGTTTGTTTTTGGGAGGTAAAAGTTACGGCTGTTGTGAAATTTTCTTATAATACCAAAATTTCATCTTATGCAATGAGTGTGGGGGATATTTTGACCAAAAACAGTACAAAAGAACTAATGTTTTTGTGTACTTAGTGATTAAGAAGAACACTAGTTCGATATGTGTTTAATCTGAGAAATTTTTTAACCAAAATTACTTGTTAAATAATGAAAGCATTTTATTTATAAATTATATTTGTTTAAACTGTAAAACCAAATTGAGCTGCAGTACACCATTCTGCCCTAGGGCATCAGGTGCCTTCTCTAAGTTCCTTTGGATAAACTCATTACAAACATAACATTTCAGCCAGCAGTCATTAACAGAGCTAAAATATTTCTTTGAGGGGATTACAGCTTTTTAAAACTATTTAAGTGAAATGGTTATTTTATTAGAGTTTAATCACATCTCTGGAAAAGACAGAAATGTAATCCCAAGGTTAGGGTAATTAAATATTGTAGGAAAAGCAACTTGTAAGAGTCCAGGAGTTTCCCTGGCTGAGGGTCAGGGGTTCAGTTGTGCAGGACACCTGTACCAGGACCTCTCCTTGGATGTACAGACTGCAGGGTTACTGCCAGGAATTGTGGCATCAGCAAGACCATGGACCTGAGAGCTGCTGTGAGCTCTGCAAAGCTGCACCCGGGTGAATCAGAGTATGATCCTGTGCACCAGACACTCCCACATTCCTTGTGAACTGCCCAAGCACTCAGCCATGAAGGGAAGACATGCCAGGAGACATTTTGGACAGGTGACAACTGTCGCTATTTTAACTTTTAAGAAGAGAAGGTGCTTGATCATGTCCAGCAGGAATGCCCCAAAGAGGAATTTATACTCACATATGTATCAGCCTAACTTCTCTCCTGGAATGAAGCACTGTGTTGAAAAACCCTCATTAGATTGATAGTGCATGGAAGAGCCTGAAATTGTGCTTTTCTTGCCTGCACACATTTGCAACAGAAATTCCCTTAATATTTTCCTTTCACAACAGAATCCTACTCTTTTGTGACTGAACAAAAGCAGAAGACACTGTTTAGAGAATTTCTTTGTCCACAATGCCTGAAAGCAGTAAAGCCTTTCTGGAGCTTTCACTCTGCTGCACAGGCTGCTGCAGGCTGGGCTGAAACACCCATTGCTCCTGTCCCGGGTTTATGCTCTCCAGTGACCTTTCACCAGAGCCACAGTATCACAAATCAAGGGAAGGAGATAAATCCAGCAATTCAGCATCAGTCAGACAAGGAAGGAAATGCTGAGCTCTTGATTCACACACACTGGAAACTGCTGCCTAATGTGATGATAACGATCTCCACCTCCCTAATTGGATTTGATACTGTTAATATTGTGTATGTAAACAGAGCCATATGCTGTCTGTGCAGCTCCTTACTGTGGCCTGAGTGTGCACAACTATTTACTCTTTGCACATTTCTTCCATTGGATTTGCTTTGTTGTGATTTATTGTGTGAAAACTTCAATTAGTTACAAAAGCAGTTCTAACCCGGAGCTCCCTGCTGCTGTTATTTTGAGCATATAAAAGCAGATCAGGTGTCACACAGCACAAGGGAGATGTCCAATCTAGCCACAGAGACAACACACTCTTGAATGTTACTCTGCATTAGGGACACTGAGGGAAGCAGGATGGGGGACCATGGATAACACCATGCAGTTTCCCTTCAAACCTACTGGGAAGAGTGAAAGAGATTAAGGATTGGGGGAGCACATATCCCATTTGTTTTTCTCCACTGAGTTTCAGTATAGAGCATCTCAGTTTCTCATGGGCCTAAGCTCCCCTGTTAAACAGCAAAGCCCAAAAGGTGATATCTATGCTCGTTCTGGATGGGGCAGAACTGTAAGAGGCATTTCTGCTATCCACATGCTACTTTTAAACCTTTGTGGAGCACAGAGGTTTCACAGTGAGCATCAAAGAACCTCTTGCTACATCTGTGTTCCTGATTCCTTCTAAAGAAATAAATACATATGGTGTTATTTGGGGCAGCTTTTCACCTATTCCTGTCAACATCAGCATTCAAAACATGTTTTCAAAGAAAAAAAGGGTGTCATTATTCAGCCTACATAAAATCGTTATTGCTCAGTGTAGTTAATACCTGCTGTGATCTAGCCCCTCTGCACCTTGCTGTGTTCATAAATACTTTTTGTTATGCTCATACAATTCTGAAAGGGCTTTCTAGAGGAGCCAAGCTGCGGTTTCTGCTGATATCACAACACTGTTGTAGTCTTCTACTGCTGATACAGATGTTTCTTTCTGAGAGTGAATCACTCTTCTGCTGAATTAGTGTTGAATGTCACAGGGTCCCACTTCCATTTGCTTGGATCCCATAGGAAATGTTGGAACAATGTGACTGTAGAATCTCCTATGGACCAGCAGCTACAAATGCACTTCAGGTCACTCCTGCTATCCAAAACACAGAGTACACACTTAGAGAAAAATCTGCCTCTGGGGTCCTGCAAAGAGGAGAAGACTGTGATACAGAGGATGTGAATTTCCAGGTTTGATAGTGTGTATAAGCTAAGAATGAAGGTGCATGACAGTGTGCATTATGAAGTATAGAGAGATATGATGAATGGGAAATTAATAGAGTTCTTTGCATTTTTATTGGAAAAAAAGTATTTTTTTATAATCAGGTTTGAGAAATTGTTCTCATTTTTGCAAATTATAGCATCTGATCTTTATAAAGGAAATCCTGATGCATGACCTATTTTAAACTACCTCTGTATCCAGAGTGGTGGATATTTGTGTTTTGAAAAACAGTTGTGAAATTGATCTGTAAATGTGGAAAAAAATCTTCCCTTTCTTTAAATAGACTCATGTAAACATGAAAATAAAAACCAGGTGGAATTAATCCCAAGTTAAATTGATACTGGAGCAAATAAATAGGATTGGGGCCATTATGATTAAGAGCCGTATTTGTGCAACACAAGCAGATGCTCAGTAGAAGGAGGATGATTGTCCCATGCTGTCCAGGCAAGGAGTGCCCCCACCACTGAATCCAGTGCCAGACAGGGAACATTAGAAATACTCCATTGTCTGACATATAAATAAGGTTCCTTTTTAATTTTTATACTTAAAAGGCAAGACAAATGTACCAATGTATTTTCTAACCATGAACATATGGAGGATGTATACTAGGAGATCATGTTTTGCAGTAGGAGTTTCATGAATCTCAGAAAAGTTAGGAGGAATGCATTAGGGCCAGCACAGAACACAAGTGTGGCAGGAACAAAGCACTACAAAAGTGGGGTTTGTGTGTGCATGATGAGAATAGAATTAGCTACAGGTCCTGATGTCAAAGAAATTCACATAGGTAGAAAATGGAAGAGAGATCAGTAGAAAAGTATTTCCTCTTCTAGAATCCCCCAACTTTTCTGTCTGTTTCCCAAAAAACCTTCAGAACATAAGAAGTGCTGAACTGCTGCAGCCTAGTCACCTTTTCTAAGCCTTTACATTCATGACATAGCATGATCACTTTGGGGATCAGAGTAAGTCACCTGTTGAAGGATTTGTAGAACTGGGTTCTTCAGTGGGTGTCTCTGGGGCTGGCAGGGGGGAGAGCTCAACTGCACTTGGCACCACCTCAGGGCTGGTTCTGGGAGAGTCAGAGTGTGGCCAAACCTCTCCAATGCCCAGCCCAGCTGCCATCCTTTGTCATACTGCAGCAACGAATCCCTCAGAATCTCTGTATAGTTAAAATGCTGTTTTTCTCCAGAGCTAGAGTTACTTCATGCTCTATTCTCAGCAACTGGTTTAGTCCTATACAAAGAGCAGTGTATAATTAACAATTATGTTGTCCTAATATCAGACTAGGCCTGAAATTTTAGGATAGTCATTCAGTGATGGAAAAACTCCACTTGATAATTGGATGTGGCATTCTGAACCTTGGTAATGTTTATGCTACTCTATAGTAGCATCACAGTTGGCTGCTTAAATGGGGATTGATAACTTCCATGCAAATAAAATGTGAGACATTAATTCATTGTAATGGGACCTCAGTCATGCCCTTTACAAAAAAATAACCACCATGTATATTGCAAAATTATCCATATGAAAGCACTGTTATTTATAGAAGACATAAAGGGATGTATTCCCTCTGATTGAGGTAACATGAAAGGTTTTTCCCTGGTGATTAAAGGAAGATGAAACATTGATGCTTCTCCCACTGAGGCAGAATGTTACATAACGACCAATTTCTGATTGTTTCTAAAATATCATTAGTGGTATTACTCATAGCCATTCAAAGCATGAAATTGAGTCCTGGAAACGAAGTATTTCTTTACAATGCCTGATGAATTTATAGCTTGTTTCTGGGTATCATGGTATTTTTAGATCATAATTGTTTCCAGACAAACATATGATGACTAATTATACAGTGACCATATGATGATTTAAGTCTTAGAAAATCCAACCTTTAAATCCCTCATTTCCTACCTCCAAGAAGAGGATGACAGAACAAACCTACGCCTTGCAGACAATGGTGGTCTTGTGTATGGTGGTCTGACATTTCAGTGATGCATCAAGTACAGGAAAACAGCAGAGACCTGTTTGTCTGACCTGTCTCTTGCAGCTGAACACTCCCCATTGTTTCCAGAGGGGCACAGTTTCATTATAAGCTAATGAAACAATCTTTCTGCTCACTGCAGCTGGTAACTTTGTAGAACTGGAAGGTAGGGTTCTTCCGTTTATGGAACCTATGTGATGGTTTGAAAATCTGTGCAATGTTAATTAGCTCTTCTAAGATAAAAACAACAGTGACTGTCTGAAACTGAGGGTGGTGTGAAGTGCACGGCTGAGAATCATGGAGGACAGTCTTTTTATACAGGCAAAACAGAGGATGAAGTGGCAGCTCCACCCACAATTTGTCATCGGTGTGCTTCACTCTGATGTGAACAGAAACACCCTGCTGCTGAGCTGTACCAGGGGTGGCCGACTGATGGTCCCTTGGATAAGTGCCCATTTGATTGCAAGCAGAAGAAAATGGCCCTATTACCTTCTGAGGGGCACCAATGATATTTTAACCTCCTTCAATAACTAGCAGACTGTGCAGGTTTGCAGCAGACAGGTGCTGATTTACATGGAACAGGTAAAGATCTGAACCCCTGGTCAGCACTGCCCCAGAGCTGACATCTCCCAGCCTGTGACACAGCAGCCCATGGCTCTGTGGCTCCCAGGGGAGCATGGATCATACACATTACAGGAACAGCTGTCATGTTTACAAGGAGGTGTCTTCATCCAGTTCAGAGTTCCAGCTTTTTTTTTTTTTTTCTTTTTGTGTAAAGAACTGCAGTCTTTGTAATCAGCACATCCACCATGAATGCAAAGCAAAGCACACGCTCTGGTAGGAAGACCTGCAGCTTTGCAGCTTTGCACAGAGGCAAACTTGGAAAGCCAAAGGCCAGGTTCTGGTATCCTCCTTGACTGATCACATTTACATGGAACGAGCTGCTGTGGAGCCCCAAACACCATCAGCCACACGAGAGCCTCTCCACTGCCCTGTCAGGAGAAAGAAATGCCTTGTGCAAGGTCAAATGGGAAGTCTGTGGCAAGAAAAGGAACTGAACCATCTTCCAAGTGTCAAGCATTGGACAGCATTTCCTTTGGCTATGGATTCCTTCTTCCATGGACATTTTGTACATTCAAGTGGATCTTTTAAATGAACCCAAGTGAAAGTACAGCAGAGAGACCCAAAGGCTGGCTAAGAGCATGTACTAAAGACTGCAGAACTGAGATCCTGAATAATGAACACTGCTAGGTACCCTCTAAATAAACCTCTTTTTGCATCTTTCCTAAGCTGCTTTTTTTCCTTACAATGTACAGAGACATCATAATTGCCAACATTTTTTGCATTTTATCTGTAAAGCAAAGCCAGAAACCATACAGGATGTGCAGATTCCTACAGCTGAAACAACAAACAGAAGAAGGAATCACCTGGAAATTGAGTTTTATGCTTGCAATGAAATACAGGAGACCAACCCTGGAAACAACAACAGCAGTGTTTGTTTCCCACATGTTGGAAACGTCAATAGGAAAAAAGGACACTGGGTAACATAAACTCCAGCATTGTTCCACCTGTGCTGCCAACAGATAACAAACCAAGTGCTACCTTTTTGTCACCACTGTTCTCAGATTTCCCTGTTTTAGCATAGCAGCTG